TGCTGAAGAGACTCCACCTGGTGATGACATCACAGGTAAGCTTTATGACATCATGAGTTAAATCAACTTCACTGCCACATTCAAAATAAACACACACACGCACGCACGCACAGACACACACACACACACACACACACACACGCTGACCTGACAGTGACACGGTGGTGGGGAGGCGGAGCAGCGTGGTCTGCTGTGTGGGTGAGGAGTGCAGTGGGGCCATTGAGCCCTGCAGCTGGCTGAGGGGGATGGTGTGTGTGCCGGGGGGCAGAGTGGCACCTGTAGACAGGTGAGGAGGGGGCGGGCCACAGAAAGGGTTAGCTGCTAACACACTGAACAGCAGGAAGCAGAGTGCAGGAAGTTGAGCGTGAAGTCTGCTGATCATGTGACATCATCATAATGAGATGGAAGCAGGTGACAGGAAGCCCCGCCTACTTACCTGACATCAAGGTGAGGCTTCCAGGAAGCATGATGCCAGCCGAAGTCTTCAGCACGGTGCCGTTGGTGGAGGAGGGCGGCTGCCAAGAGGGGGCGCTGGTCTGCAACTGCAGGGACACCGAGGAGGAGGAGGAGGAGGAGGAGGGGGGCAGGGCCTGCGTGTTGCCCGTGGACAAAGTGAACGCTGGTTTGTTCAGATCCTGCAGGGGGGGAGACAGACAGGTGGGCGGGGCTTAAACAGCTGAAAAACTGTTGCAGCGCCCCCTGCAGACATCTGCATGTACGACATACTGTGTGAGAAAGAGGCGTTACCTTGGCAACCTCAGGGCAGCCGTCAGCCTCAGAAACCTGGTAGGTGAGGTCGGTCTCCTCGAAGCCCGTGGCGCTCATCCTCTGGTCGGAGGAGGGGTCTGAGCGTGGCGGGGAGTCGGGGGAGTTTAGGCAGGTCTGGATCAGAGCTTTGCCGGTCTCTGACGTGATCATCGGCTGCAGCTTCCTCGTAGCAAACGTGTACACGTGACCCGTCTCACTGGCAACCAGCAGCAACACCTGAGTGCCCGTCAGCGTGGACAGCTCGTATGCCTGCGGGGGGGCGGAGTCACATGAGGGGGGCGGAGTCACATGAGTTTAAGTTTGTTTTACTTGTTTTTTCTCATAATTCATTCTTTAACAAACATCCTGACTGTGTTTATGACCTGTCAGGATCAGGACCAGGTCTCAGTCTGAAGACCTGTTAGGATCAGTACCAGGTCTCAGTCTGAAGACCTGTTAGGATCAGTACCAGGTCTCAGTCTGATGACCTGTCAGGATCAGGACCAGGTCTCAGTCTGATGACCTGTTAGGATCAGTACCAGGTCTCAGTCTGATGACCTGTCAGGATCAGGACCAGGTCTCAGTCTGATGACCTGTCAGGATCAGAACCAGGTCTCAGTCTGAAGACCTGTTAGGATCAGTACCAGGTCTCAGTCTGATGACCTGTTAGGATCAGTACCAGGTCTCAGTCTGATGACCTGTTAGGATCAGTACCAGGTCTCAGTCTGATGACCTGTCAGGATCAGGACCAGGTCTCAGTCTGATGACCTGTTAGGATCAGTACCAGGTCTCAGTCTGATGACCTGTCAGGATCAGGACCAGGTCTCAGTCTGATGACCTGTCAGGATCAGAACCAGGTCTCAGTCTGATGACCTGTCAGGATCAGGACCAGGTCCCAGTCTGATGACCTGTCAGGATCAGGACCAGGTCTCAGTCTGATGACCTGTTAGCTAGGATCAGTACCAGGTCTCAATCTGATGACCTGTTAGGATCAGGACCAGGTCTCAGTCTGATGACCTGTTAGCTAGGATCAGTACCAGGTCTCAGTCTGATGACCTGTTAGCTAGGATCAGGACCAGGTCTCAGTCTGATGACCTGTCAGGATCAGGACCAGGTCTCAGTCTGATGACCTGTTAGCTAGGATCAGTACCAGGTCTCAGTCTGAAGACCTGTTAGCTAAGATCAGTACCAGGTCCCAGTCTGAAGACCTGTTAGCTAGGATCAGCACCAGGTCTCAGTCTGATGACCTGTTAGCTAGGATCAGTACCAGGTCTCAGTCTGAAGACCTGTTAGCTAGGATCAGTACCAGGTCTCAGTCTGAAGACCGGTTAGCTAGGATCAGGACCAGGTCTCAGTCTGATGACCTGTTAGCTAGGATCAGTACCAGGTCTCAGTCTGATGACCTGTTAGCTAGGATCAGTACCAGGTCTCAGTCTGATGACCTGTTAGCTAGGATCAGTACCAGGTCTCAGTCTGATGACCTGTTAGGATCAGTACCAGGTCTCAGTCTGATAACCTGTTAGCTAGGATCAGGACCAGGTCCCAGTCTGAAGACCGGTTAGCTAGGATCAGTACCAGGTCTCAGTCTGAAGACCGGTTAGCTAGGATCAGTACCAGGTCTCAGTCTGATGACCTGTTAGGATCAGTACCAGGTCTCAGTCTGATGACCTGTTAGGATCAGGACCAGGTCTCAGTCTGATGACCTGTTAGGATAAGGACCAGGTCTCAGTCTGATGACCTGTCAGGATCAGTACCAGGTCTCAGTCTGAAGACCTGTCAGGATCAGGACCAGGTCCCAGTCTGAAGACCTGTTAGGATCAGGACCAGGTCTCAGTCTGATGACCTGTTAGGATCAGGACCAGGTCCCAGTCTGAAGACCTGTTAGCTAGGATCAGGACCAGGTCCCAGTCTGATGACCTGTCAGGATCAGTACCAGGTCTCAGTCTGAAGACCTGTTAGGATCAGGACCAGGTCTCAGTCTGATGACCTGTTAGCTAGGATCAGGACCAGGTCCCAGTCTGATGACCTGTTAGGATCAGAACCAGGTCTCAGTCTGATGACCTGTTAGGATCAGAACCAGGTCTCAGTCTGATGACCTGTTAGGATCAGGACCAGGTCTCAGTCTGAAGACCTGTTAGGATCAGGACCAGGTCTCAGTCTGATGACCTGTTAGCTAGGATCAGTACCAGGTCTCAGTCTGATGACCTGTTAGCTAGGATCAGGACCAGGTCTCAGTCTGATGACCTGTCAGGATCAGGACCAGGTCTCAGTCTGATGACCTGTTAGCTAGGATCAGGACCAGGTCTCAGTCTGATGACCTGTCAGGATCAGGACCAGGTCTCAGTCTGATGACCTGTTAGCTAGGATCAGTACCAGGTCTCAGTCTGATGACCTGTTAGTTAGGATCAGTACCAGGTCTCAGTCTGAAGACCGGTTAGCTAGGATCAGTACCAGGTCTCAGTCTGATGACCTGTTAGGATCAGTACCAGGTCTCAGTCTGATGACCTGTTAGGATCAGGACCAGGTCTCAGTCTGATGACCTGTCAGGATCAGTACCAGGTCTCAGTCTGAAGACCTGTCAGGATCAGGACCAGGTCCCAGTCTGAAGACCTGTTAGGATCAGGACCAGGTCTCAGTCTGATGACCTGTTAGGATCAGGACCAGGTCCAGTCTGAAGACCTGTTAGCTAGGATCAGGACCAGGTCCCAGTCTGATGACCTGTCAGGATCAGTACCAGGTCTCAGTCTGAAGACCTGTTAGGATCAGAACCAGGTCTCAGTCTGATGACCTGTTAGGATCAGAACCAGGTCTCAGTCTGATGACCTGTTAGGATCAGAACCAGGTCTCAGTCTGATGACCTGTTAGGATCAGAACCAGGTCTCAGTCTGATGACCTGTTAGGATCAGGACCAGGTCTCAGTCTGAAGACCTGTTAGGATCAGGACCAGGTCTCAGTCTGATGACCTGTTAGCTAGGATCAGTACCAGGTCTCAGTCTGATGACCTGTTAGCTAGGATCAGGACCAGGTCTCAGTCTGATGACCTGTCAGGATCAGGACCAGGTCTCAGTCTGATGACCTGTTAGCTAGGATCAGGACCAGGTCTCAGTCTGATGACCTGTCAGGATCAGGACCAGGTCTCAGTCTGATGACCTGTTAGCTAGGATCAGTACCAGGTCTCAGTCTGAAGACCTGTCAGGATCAGGACCAGGTCTCAGTCTGATGACCTGTTAGCTAGGATCAGTACCAGGTCTCAGTCTGAAGACCTGTTAGCTAGGATCAGTACCAGGTCTCAGTCTGAAGACCTGTTAGCTAGGATCAGCACCAGGTCTCAGTCTGATGACCTGTTAGCTAGGATCAGTACCAGGTCTCAGTCTGAAGACCTGTTAGGATCAGGACCAGGTCTCAGTCTGAAGACCTGTTAGGATCAGTACCAGGTCTCAGTCTGATGACCTGTTAGTTAGGATCAGTACCAGGTCTCAGTCTGAAGACCTGTTAGCTAGGATCAGTACCAGGTCTCAGTCTGATGACCTGTTAGGATCAGTACCAGGTCTCAGTCTGATGACCTGTTAGGATCAGGACCAGGTCTCAGTCTGATGACCTGTCAGGATCAGTACCAGGTCTCAGTCTGAAGACCTGTCAGGATCAGGACCAGGTCCCAGTCTGAAGACCTGTTAGGATCAGGACCAGGTCTCAGTCTGATGACCGGTTAGGATCAGGACCAGGTCCCAGTCTGAAGACCTGTTAGCTAGGATCAGGACCAGGTCCCAGTCTGATGACCTGTCAGGATCAGTACCAGGTCTCAGTCTGAAGACCTGTTAGGATCAGAACCAGGTCTCAGTCTGATGACCTGTTAGGATCAGAACCAGGTCTCAGTCTGATGACCTGTTAGGATCAGAACCAGGTCTCAGTCTGATGACCTGTTAGGATCAGAACCAGGTCTCAGTCTGATGACCTGTTAGGATCAGGACCAGGTCTCAGTCTGAAGACCTGTTAGGATCAGGACCAGGTCTCAGTCTGATGACCTGTTAGCTAGGATCAGTACCAGGTCTCAGTCTGATGACCTGTTAGCTAGGATCAGGACCAGGTCTCAGTCTGATGACCTGTCAGGATCAGGACCAGGTCTCAGTCTGATGACCTGTTAGCTAGGATCAGGACCAGGTCTCAGTCTGATGACCTGTCAGGATCAGGACCAGGTCTCAGTCTGATGACCTGTTAGCTAGGATCAGTACCAGGTCTCAGTCTGAAGACCTGTCAGGATCAGGACCAGGTCTCAGTCTGATGACCTGTTAGCTAGGATCAGGACCAGGTCTCAGTCTGATGACCTGTCAGGATCAGGACCAGGTCTCAGTCTGATGACCTGTCAGGATCAGGACCAGGTCTCAGTCTGATGACCTGTTAGTTAGGATCAGTACCAGGTCTCAGTCTGAAGACCTGTTAGCTAGGATCAGTACCAGGTCCCAGTCTGAAGACCTGTTAGCTAGGATCAGCACCAGGTCTCAGTCTGATGACCTGTTAGCTAGGATCAGTACCAGGTCTCAGCCTGAAGACCTGTTAGGATCAGGACCAGGTCTCTGTCTGAAGACCTGTCAGGATCAGGACCAGGTCTCAGTCTGATGACCTGTTAGCTAGGATCAGGACCAGGTCTCAGTCTGATGACCTGTCAGGATCAGGACCAGGTCTCAGTCTGATGACCTGTTAGCTAGGATCAGGACCAGGTCTCAGTCTGATGACCTGTCAGGATCAGGACCAGGTCTCAGTCTGATGACCTGTTAGTTAGGATCAGTACCAGGTCTCAGTCTGAAGACCTGTTAGCTAGGATCAGTACCAGGTCCCAGTCTGAAGACCTGTTAGCTAGGATCAGCACCAGGTCTCAGTCTGATGACCTGTTAGCTAGGATCAGTACCAGGTCTCAGTCTGAAGACCTGTTAGGATCAGGACCAGGTCTCAGTCTGAAGACCTGTTAGGATCAGGACCAGGTCTCAGTCTGAAGACCTGTTAGGATCAGTACCAGGTCTCAGTCTGAAGACCTGTTAGCTAGGATCAGGACCAGGTCCCAGTCTGAAGACCTGTTAGGATCAGGACCAGGTCTCAGTCTGAAGACCTGTTAGGATCAGTACCAGGTCTCAGTCTGAAGACCTGTTAGCTAGGATCAGGACCAGGTCCCAGTCTGATGACCTGTTAGGATCAGGACCAGGTCCAGTCTGAAGACCTGTTAGGATCAGGACCAGGTCTCAGTCTGACTCTTGTATATAACTATATTTCTTTAGAAAGTTCTGTTGTATGTCATTATCTGTAAACCCTCTTGTCTGTGTACCTGTCCAGGTGAGCTCACCTTCTTCATGATACCTGTCTTCCTCTTGCTGAACGTGGTGTATCTCCTCAGTTTGTTGTCAATGAACTCCATCTTGATTTTCACTCTCCCTCTGGTTTTCTTCCCGGGTTTGGCCCCTGGTACCCCGGGGCTGAGCCCGCAGTAAGCCCCGCTGTGGCCCCCGGAGGAGCCGGCTGACTGCCGCCCGACCTCCCTCTCCCTCCTCTCCCGCTTCACCCCCCTCCTGTCCCCACCGGAGCCCACCGTGTCCTCATCGTCTCCGGATTCAGAGTCTGGTTCGGAGCCGCTGTAGACCACCTCGGTGCTGAATTCCCGTTCCTCGAACCGGTCCTCCTCGGTCCCGGAGGCTGTGTGAGGTCCGGACGTCAGCCCGGAGCCGGTTCTGCTACTCATTCCAGCGCCGCTCCCCAATAGCATCCCCCGCTGGTCCCTCCTCCACCCGGCGGGTCACAGCTCTCACACTCCTCCGCTGATAGGTGCCTCCTCTCCGGGTACAGGCAGCTAGCTGCCCCGCTAGCTGCACGGCTAGCTGCGCTTTACTGGCTAACGACGGCTTCAGTTAGCATTAGTTAGCGGTTACTTTAGCAACAAGTAGAGCCATCAGTCCGTGAGAAAGTCCGTCAAAACACCGGGAGATGAGGTGGAGCGGCGGGAGGAGCTCAGCGGGAGAACCGGGAGATCTTTTCCCAATACATAAAATCAGATTATTAATAAAAAAGAGAATAAAGTTTAAAGTTTCTGTACAGTAATGAGGGAGGCCCGGCCCACTAACACACTCCGCTCCACATAAGGAAATGACGAGCAGCACCCCGCAGTATCCGTCCGCCGAGGAATGTAGTTCTACAGACTTAAAGGATTACATTCCCCCACATTGTTTAAAATATCTCACCTGTTATCAGACACGTTACGTTACTCAATTCTGCACGGTTTATGATCCAACATTAACGGAGGTAACGGTGACTGTGCGGAGGGATACCTCAAGGCGACGTGTTGTTTCGAACGTGTAGGGAACTACTTCTCTCCATATAAAGAAGCCTGTTTCCTTATATGGCGTGGACGCTCCTTATATGGTAATTTAGAACTTCAGACCGAAAAACTACAGACATGTGTAGAGAAGTTTTTACTGTATTTCTTTGTCATTTAATTGTTTAATTATAAATAGTGAATTAGTTCTCCGCTGTTTTAAGTTAATAATGAATTAACCTTCTTTGCTGTACTACGAAATTATTTAAATATGGTGCATTTTTTACTCTGACTGTGGCTGTGAGTGGTGGTCAGTGTGCCAGCCCTGTGATTGACAGGTGATCAGTCCAGGTGTAACCCTGTCCCTCGACCAATCGCAGCTGAGATGACGTTGGCGTATAGATAATGGATTTATGTCAGTAAAAGTAGAAATACTGGTTTAAGTTAAATGCATTAAAAAGTATAAAAATACAAAATACATAATTTTAAAGGTCACATTCTGTAAAATCCTCTTCTCCATGTTCCTCTAACTCTAACATGTGTCTCTAGTCCGTCTACAAACCCCCCAATGATGAGAAAAGTCCATCCTCTCCGTCTTCTGCCTGCTCCACTTTTCAGAAAATGTGTGCTCAAAGAGGCCGTTTGGAGATTTTCCCTTCATGACATCACAAAGGGCAGTAGCCCCTCCCCCAGGTGGGTGACACTCCTACAGCTAGGTGTTTGTTCTGCCCTCTGAGTCTGCCTTCTCACCGTAAACAATAGGACATGGAGCGAGAAAGACCGAGTACACCCAAGCCCTTCCAGAGAGGGGGCGTGGTCAGACACAGCTCATTTACATATTTAAAGGTACAGACACAGAAACAGCCTGTTCTGAGCAGGGCTGAAATAGAGGGATTTATAGACATGATCAAATACAGGATCAGAGTGGATTTAGAACAAGAAACTTCACACACATGTTGAAGAGGAGCTCTGAGACTTATTTAAACTGAAGAAGAGTTCAAACAGCAGGCAGGATGATGTTATGTAAGTTAAATGTGACTGAGTTTTATTGATTTTTATTGAACATCTTGTTTAAATGTAAATAACTCATGTTAGCTCATAGCTCATGTTTGAGCTCAATAAATAACTGATGTAAATGATAAAAGGAGCTGCTGACGGTTAAACAAAGAGGACGTTTCAAAACAAGTTTAAAGAGGAACACACAGCGTGACGCCTCGACAGACAAACACCACTTAATCAATCAATCAATCAATCAATTAATTAATTAGTGAGTAGCTGTTGTTTGTTAGGATGTTTGCAGCTTAGTGCTTCAGACTCCTAGGACAAAGTAAAATAACTTTATATATCAAAGTACTGCATTCAAAAGTACTTCTTTTGTTTTACTCTCATGAGTGTTGTTTATCACATAATCATAAAATAAGCCAATCAGAGCCCTGGTTTTCTGGGTGTGACCTCTGACACCTGGCCTGCATCCAGTCCTGTACTGATCTGGGATCAGGATCAGGGTTTAAATTTATCTCAGATTAACTTGTAGCTCCTCCGAGGACGACTCGGCGATGCGCTCAGTCTGCAGCATGTCGGCCTCTGCAGCAGGGGGGGGTGTCCCCTGGAGGAACAACAGCTTCATACTGGGGGGGAGCCGGGACCCTCCTCTGTCCGACCAGGGGGAGACCATCATTGGAGTGTACCTGCTAGTGCTAGGTGAGCGCACACACACACACACACACACACAAACAGGGTTCACAGAGGTTTATTAGGACACAATAACAGTTCAGTTCTTAAAGTTTACAAACTGCTCCTTTAAACTAAAAACCTCGTATCTCCTGTTTTTAACTGTAGTAAACTTGAAGGAGCACTTTGGAGTTTTGGTAGAGAAATGTGAAAGTTGCAGAAATTTACAGATTCTGTGGTTTATGTTTATAACGCTTTACACAAACTGTCTTCAGAGGAGAGTTTGGTCCTGTTTGAAGATAAAATTCTACGTGGGAAGTTATGGTGGGGGGGCGGGCAACAGTGAAACCCTAACTGTCGCTTTTTAGCTCCAAAAAGTGCTCAGGGACCCGTTTTTTCCTTTGAATAAAATTTGTGTATTTAGTTCAGAAAATATAGCAAATAAATTGTTTCACTTCTCCAACTTTCAAATTCCATACCACATCTACAAAGTGCACCTTTAAGTAAATCAGAGCACATTCAAAATAAAGGACGGGGTTAGAGATATTTTCATTAACCCTTTAATTAATCATAGAGTTTAAATTGTAGAGATGAAGACGATATGTTGATATCAAAATGGAAAGTTCCAAAATTAAGTTAAAATTTTGTCGGTAATAATGAGTCAAGATCGTAAAATGTAAATGTCTAAAGCCCAGTGGTGTCTTGGTCGCTGAAGAAGCAGGTATATACTCTTAATTTTCCCCCTAAATGTTTTTTGAGGTGACCCGTCCAGCAGAGGAAAAACGGCCTTATAAACTGACATGTGAGACTCATGCACATTCAGTTAGTATACTCGTCAATAAGAGACGGAGTTAGAGGGTCATCCCGTCACCATCCTAGCAAAAAAATGCTGCAAACTACTAAATATTGTTAATCAATCTATGGTGTGAATCAGAAGAGATTTAGAAGTGGGTATACTCCGTACTGCGTATACCTGCATATACCTGCATATACCTGCATATACCTGCACTACACTGATAAAGTCAGGTAGAAATGTGAAATAAAAAGAAGAAATGTGTAAAATTATTAAAATAAAGGAGTGAATCCAACAGGTAGAGAACAATGGCCGTTGGTTGTTGGAGAGATGGGTCTACTCAGGTATGTTTACTCTGTCACCTTCTCACCTGTAAATCCAGTGTGATGGCTGAGCGTCAGCATTAACTCAGGTGAACTCACTCTCGGCCGCTTTGCACAAACACACCTGATTACTGACGGAATAAAAAGGGCAGCTCACCTTCAATCTTTGTACTGTACCTGTAAACACATACTTGTAGACAAGTACCTGTAAATGTGTACCTATAGATGTGTACCTGTAAATGTGTACCTGTAGATGTGCACCTGTAGATGTGCAGCTGTAGATGTGTACCTGTAGATGTGTACCTGTAAATGTGTACCTGTAGATGTGTACCTGTAAATGTGTACCTGTAAATGTGTACCTGTAGATGTGTACCTGTAAATGTGTACCTGTAGATGTGTACTTGTAGATGTGTACCTGTACACAAGTACCTGTAAATGTGTACCCATAGATGTGTACCTGTAAATGTGTACCTGTAGATGTGTACCTGCAGACTTTTACCTGTAGACTTTTTATCTGTAGATGTGTATCTGTAAACACATACCTGTTGACAAATACCTGTAAATGTGTACCTGTAGATGTGTACCTGTAAATGTGTACCTGTAGATGTGTACCTGTAGACTTTTACCTGTAGATGTGTATCTGTAAACACATACCTGTTGACAAGTACCTGTAAATGTGTACCTGTAGATGTGTACCTGTAGACAAGTACCTGTAAATGTGTACCTATAGATGTGTACCTGTAAATGTGTACCTGTAGATGTGTACTTGTAGACTTTTACCTGTAGATGTGTACCTGTAGACTTTTACCTGTAGATGTGTACCTGTAGATGTGTACCTGTAGACTTTTACCTGTAGATGTGTACCTGTAGATGTGTACCTGTAGACTTTTACCTGTAGATGTGTACCTGTAAATGTGTACCTGTAAACTTTTACCTGTAGATGTGGACCTGTAGACTTCTACCTGTAGATGTGAACCTGTAAATCTGTACCTGTAGATGTGTACCTGTAAATCTGTACCTGTAGATGTGTACCTGTAGATGTGTACCTGTAAATGTGTACCTGTAAATGTGTACCTGAAGATTTGTACCTGTAGATGTGTACCTGAAGATGTGTACCTGTAAAAGTGTACCTGTAGATGTGTACCTGTAGATGTGCACCTGTAGATGTGTACCTGTAAATGTGTACCTGTAGATGTGTACCTGTAGATGTGTACCTGTAAAAGTGTACCTGTAGATGTGTACCTGTAAATGTGTACCTGTAGATGTGTACCTGTAGATGTGTACCTGTAAATGTGTATCTGTAAACACATACCTGTTGACAAGTACCTGTAAATGTGTACCTGTAGATGTGTACCTGTAAATGTGTACCTGTAGATGTGTACCTGTAAATGTGTACCTGTAAATGTGTACCTGTAGATGTGTACCTGTAAATGTGTACCTGTAGATGTGTACCTGTAAATGTGTACCTGTAAATGTGTACCTGTAGATGTGTACCTGTAAATGTGTACCTGTAGATGTGTACCTGTAGACTTTTACCTATAGATGTGTATCTGTAAACACATACCTGTTGACAAGTACCTGTAAATGTGTACCTGTAGATGTGTACCTGTAGACGTGTACCTGCAGATGTGTACCTGTAGATGTGTACCTGTAGACAAGTACCTGTAAATGTGTACCTGTAGATGTGTACCTGTAGACGTGTACCTGCAGATGTGTACCTGTAGATGTGTACCTGTAGACAAGTACCTGTAAATGTGTACCTGTAGATGTGTACCTGTAGACTTTACCTGTAGATGTGTACCTGTAGACTTTTACCTGTAAATGTGTACCTGTAAACTTTTACCTGTAGATGTGTACCTGTAAATGTGTACCTGTAGATGTGTACCTGTAAATGTGTACCTGTAGATGTGTACCTGTAGACTTTTACCTATAGATGTGTATCTGTAAACACATACCTGTTGACAAGTACCTGTAAATGTGTACCTGTAGATGTGTACCTGTAGACGTGTACCTGCAGATGTGTACCTGTAGATGTGTACCTGTAGACAAGTACCTGTAAATGTGTACCTGTAAATGTGTACCTGTAGAGTTTTACCTGTAGATGTGTACCTGTAGACTTTTACCTGTAGATGTGTACCTGTAGACGTTTACCTGTAAATGTGTACCTGTAAACTTTTACCTGTAGATGTGTACCTGTAGACTTCTACCTGTAGATGTGCACCTGTAGATGTGCAGCTGTAGATGTGTACCTGTAGATGTGTACCTGTAAATGTGTACCTGTAGATGTGTACCTGTAGATGTGCAGCTGTAGATGTGTACCTGTAAATGTGTACCTGTAGATGTGTACCTGTAAATGTGTACCTGTAAACTTTTACCTGTAGATGTGTACCTGTAGACTTCTACCTGTAGATGTGCACCTGTAGATGTGCACCTGTAGATGTGCAGCTGTAGACGTGTACCTGTAGATGTGTACCTGTAAATGTGTACCTGTAGATGTGTACCTGTAGATGTGCAGCTGTAGATGTGTACCTGTAAATGTGTACCTGTAGATGTGTACCTGTAAAAGTGTACCTGTAAACCTTTACCTGTAGATGTGTACCTGTAGACTTCTACCTGTAGATGTGCACCTGTAGATGTGCACCTGTAGATGTGCAGCTGTAGATGTGTACCTGTAAATGTGTACCTGTAGATGTGTACCTGTAAATGTGTACCTGTAGATGTGTACCTGTAGATGTGCACCTGTAAATGTGTACCTGTAGATGTGTACCTCAAACCTGTCCGTGGTGATTTCAGGTTGGTTGTCCTGGTTCGGAAACAGCATCGTCCTCTTCGTGTTGTACAGACAGAGAGCCACGCTGCAGCCCACAGATTACCTGACCTTTAACCTGGCCGTGTCTGACGCCAGCATCTCCGTGTTCGGATACTCCAGAGGGATCATTGAGATCTTCAACGTCTTCCAGGACAGCGGCTTCCTCATCGCATCCATCTGGACCTGCCAGGTACACCTGAGACTCACATTCAAGACACCTCAGACACACCTGAGACACCCTTTAGACCAACACCTGAGACACCCTTTAGACCAACACCTGAGACACACCTGAGACACCCTTTAGACCCACACCTGAGGCTCACCTGAGACACCCTTTAGACCCACACCTGAGACTCACCTGAGACACCCTTTAGACCCACACCTGAGACTCACCTGAGACACCCTTTAGACCAACACCTGAGACACACCTGAGACACCCTTTAGACCCACACCTGAGACACACCTGAGACACCCTTCAGACCCACACCTGAGACACCCTTTAGACCAACACCTGAGACACACCTGAGACACCCTTTAGACCAACACCTGAGACACACCTGAGACACACCTGAGACACCCTTTAGACCAACACCTGAGACACACCTGAGACATCCTTTAGACCAACGCCTGAGACACCCTTTAGACCAACACCTGAGACACACCTGAGACACCCTTTAGACCCACACTTGAGACACACCTGAGACACACCTGGGACACACTTTAGACCCACACCTGAGACACACCTGAGACACCCTTTAGACCAACACCTGAGACACACCTGAGACACACCTGAGACACCCTTTAGACCCACACCTGAGACTCACCTGAGACACCCTTTAGACCCACACCTGAGACTCACCTGAGACACCCTTTAGACCAACACCTGAGACACACCTGAGACACCCTTTAGACCCACACCTGAGACACCCTTTACACCAACACCTGAGACTCACCTGAGACACCCTTTAGACCAACACCTGAGACACACTTGAGACACCCTTTAGACCAACACCTGAGACACCCTTTAGACCAACACCTGAGACACACCTGAGACTCACCTGAGACACCCTTTAGACCCACACCTGAGACACCCTTTAGACCAACACCTGAGACACACCTGAGACACCCTTTACACCCACACCTGAGACACACCTGAGACACCCTTTAGACCCACACCTGAGACACCCTTTAGACCAACACCTGAGACACACCTGAGACACCCTTTAGACCCACACCTGAGACTCACCTGAGACACCCTTTAGACCCACACCTGAGACTCACCTGAGACACCCTTTAGACCCACACCTGAGACTCACCTGAGACACCCTTTAGACCAACACCTGAGACACACCTGAGACACCCTTTAGACCCACACCTGAGACACCCTTTAGACCACACCTGAGACTCACCTGAGACACCCTTTAGACCCACACCTGAGACACACCTGAGACACCCTTTAGACCAACACCTGAGACACCCTTTAGACCAACACCTGAGACACACCTGAGACTCACCTGAGACACCCTTTAGACCCACACCTGAGACACCCTTTAGACCCACACCTGAAGCTTACCTGAGACACCCTTTAGACCAACACCTGAGACTCACCTGAGACACCCTTTAGACCCACACTTGAGACACACCTGAGACACACCTGGGACACACTTTAGACCCACACCTGAGACACACCTGAGACACCCTTTAGACCCACACCTGAGACACCCTTTACACCCACACCTGAGACACACCTGAGACACCCTTTAGACCCACACCTGAGACACCCTTTAGACCAACACCTGAGACACACCTGAGACAGCCTTTAGACCCACACTTGAGACTCACCTGAGACACCCTTTAGACCCACACCTGAGACTCACCTGAGACACCCTTTAGACCAACACCTGAGACACACCTGAGACACCCTTTAGACCCACACCTGAGACACCCTTTAGACCAACACCTGAGACACACCTGAGACACCCTTTAGACCAACACCTGAGACACACCTGAGACACACCTGAGACACCCTTTAGACCCACACCTGAGACTCACCTGAGACACCCTTTAGACCAACACCTGAGACACACCTGAGACACCCTTTAGACCAACACCTGAGACACACCTGAGACACACCTGAGACACCCTTTAGACCCACACCTGAGACTCACCTGAGACACCCTTTAGACCAACACCTGAGACACACCTGAGACACCCTTTAGACCAACACCTGAGACACCCTTTAGACCAACACATGAGACACACCTGAGACACCCTTTAGAACCACACCTGAGACACACCTGAGACACCCTTTAGACCCACACCTGAGACACCCTTTAGACCAACACCTGAGACACACCTGAGACACCCTTTAGACCAACACCTGAGACACACCTGAGACACCCTTTAGACCCACACCTGAGACTCACCTGAGACACCCTTTAGACCCACACCTGAGACTCACCTGAGACACCCTTTAGACCAACACCTGAGACACACCTGAGACACCCTTTAGACCCACACCTGAGACACCCTTTAGACCAACACCTGAGACACACCTGAGACACCCTTTAGACCAAGACCTGAGACACACCTGAGACTCACCTGAGACACCCTTTAGACCCACAACTGAGACACCCTTTAGATCCACACCTGAAGCTTACCTGAGACACCCTTTAGACCAACACCTGAGACTCACCTGAGACACCCTTTAGACCCACACCTGAGGCTCACCTGAGACACCCTTTAGACCAACACCTGAGACTCACCTGAGACACCCTTTAGACCAACACCTGAGACACACCTGAGACTCAACTGAGACACCCTTTAGACCCACACCTGAGACACACCTGAGACACCCTTTAGACCAACACCTAAGACACACCTGAGACACCCTTTAGACCCACACCTGAGACTCACCTGAGACACCCTTTAGACCAACACCTAAGACTCACCTGAGACACCCTTTAAACCAACACCTGAGACTCACCTTTGATTCACCTGAGAATAATCTAACACTCTCCTTTAGCTGCCATAAGTGACAGTAGACACAGAGTTTGAGGAGGCGGAGCTTGAACTGTGACACACCTGTAACCTGTGATGTTTGCGTCCTGCAGGTAGACGGTTTCTTCACGCTGATATTCGGTCTGAGCAGCATCAACACTCTGACGGTGATCAGCATCACGCGCTACATCAAAGGATGTCACCCCAACAAAGGTGAGTCAGCAACTCGACTTCCTGAAACCACACCTGTTCAACTTTAGCGTGCTGCGTTCGAGGTCCAGTCAGTTTGCCGGGACACTTTGGTGTGGCTGTATGTCAGTTAAGTTCAGGAACAATCATGGCTAAAATAATGATCACCTGGATATGACTCCTCCCCCTGTGTGACATCACTCTATATAACCCCGTTATTAACCCTTTAACTCAAACAGCTGAGTGATGGACTGATCTGAGAAACAACCTCGTGTTGTGTTTCAGCCCATCACATCACCCGGGTCAGCGTGTCCATCTGTCTACTGCTCATCTGGATCACAGCTGGATTCTGGTCTGGAGCCCCCCTGCTGGGCTGGGGCAGCTACAAAGGTTAGCGTCAAACACATCTCTTTATGATCTTTTCACATGAGAAGACGTGCGTTCAGAGGCTTTTCTCTTGGCAAATCTTTTTTTATAAGAGGAGACGAATGAGTCTAACGATAAGGGCAAGAAAACCCCTCACACCGTCTGACTTTCACAAAAACAAAAACAACAAACTTAAACTGTGCAGGAGATGGCCTGCAACTCCCTCCCAACTACACTCCCTCCCCCCACTACGCTCTGCCAATGAAAGTCTGATCCAACCTTCACAACAGGGTCCTAAGACGCTGACTGGACTCTTCTCCTCTGTCGCCCCCCGGTGGTGGAATGAACTTCCAAACTCCATTGGATCTGCAGAGTCCCTCTGCACCTTTAAGAAAAAGCTAAAGACCCAGCTCTTTCATGAATACCTACTAACTTAATGATGATGGTCTCCATATTATTGATGATGATGATGGTAATGACGATGGTTTTTGTTTGATAACGACGACTTATAAGATGGTTTCTATACTGATTAGAGCTCTCAAGAACTGCCCTCAATGTTGTGCTTTGCCTCTGGTCACTTCCTGTCAGCACCTGTGTGTCCAATCAGACTCAAAGCTGATCATTTGCTCTTACTGACATTGTTCCCTTTTTTCTAGATCCTTGCTTGTGTTGTTCTTACTCTCTGATGTATGTCGCTTTGGATAAAAGTGTCTGCTAACTGAATTGTAGCAACTTTCCACATTTCAAACCTGATTAACCGGTATGGGAGCTGAGGACTGCCATGCTATCACACATGAATCCATATCATTTGATTTAACATCGTATCAAGGTTTGAGACGTGGTAACGACCCTCCCTCTGACTCATCTCAAACCCTCTCCCCGACAGATCGTGGGTACGGGACTTGTGAGATCGACTGGGCCAAAGCGGGTTACTCGGGTGTGTACAGGTCGTACATCATCTCTATCTTCATCTTCTGCTTCTTCATGCCGGTGCTCATCATGCTCTTCTGCTACGTGTCCATCATCAACACGGTGAAGAGAGGCAACGCGCTGTCTGCCGAGGGCGACCTGACCGACCGCCAGAGGAAGATCGAGAGAGACGTCACCATTGTGAGTCTCCACCATCACACGGCTAATGCTAACAGGATTTTAGGACCAGAAAGAGCTCCTCTGTGTAGTGGGAGCGTGCCTATGTTCCCACATTTCCCTTTTCATAAATTTGTATCAGATTTTATCCCCCTTTCTCCCAATTTGGTAGCCAATTACACCCAACCTATCATCCAGTACCAATGGACTACAGATGGAATATAGCTTTTAGCTAAATCTGGTGCACCCATCTCTTTGTTTATTGCAAACATTTAATGTAAGTGCACATTGTCCTTTTAAATGAACAAACTAAACTAAGTATCACAGAGGCCTCGCGTTGACTAGCTTCCAGTCAGCTCAGTCGAATGAAGCGCAGCAACTGGATGCAAACCATAGTTTGCAGGGTTGGCATAGAGAGGGGGTGCTGCTGATCGAAATAAAATGACTCATTCATTCATTCATTCATTTACTATAAAGTGCTTCCAAAAAATCTTAAATAGGGCTTAAATTGAAGGGACATGTAGGAACACAAGACCTAATTTTGAAAATGTCCTAGAAATGTGGGAACATAGGGCCGACCCCCTGTCGGGAAATGATCTTACTTAGGTTGTTTTTAGAAGGGTGGCTGTTTTGTTTCAATAAACTTTATTGGAATTGTCTCGTGTTAAACTGTCAGCTGATCTGTGCGGCGTGAGCGTAAAGGTTAGAAGATATGAAGAAAGAGGATGATAAGCTAGTACAAAGGCTAGCCTACATGCTAACGCTAATGTTGCTCCTCCATCCACAGTCCGGTGTTCCTGTCGGGAATCTCCCCGTGGTTCTCCAGGTTGTTGAAACATCTTTTTTAATCTGCGGCAGGTTTCCATAGTGATTTGCACCGCCTTCATCTTGGCCTGGTCTCCGTACGCCGTGGTGTCCATGTGGTCGGCCTGGGGTTTCCACGTCCCTAACCTGACCAGCATCTTTACCCGCCTGTTCGCCAAGTCGGCCAGCTTCTACAACCCCCTCATCTACTTTGGCCTCAGCTCCAAGTTCAGGAAGGATGTGGCCGTGCTGCTGCCGTGCACCCGCGACACCAAGGACACCGTCAAGCTGAAGCGCTTCAAGCCCAAGGCCGACGCCCACGGCCGACCCGCCGCAGGTGGTGGAGCCAGACTCAAGGTCCCTCTAAACCGCACAGAGAAGAAGTACATATCCCTGAACCAGCCGAACCCCATCCCCAGCCCGGACTCAGGGATGGGGAGCCCGCCCACCACGCCGATGCCATCAAACAGCAAGGAGGTGTTCTACATCGACACCCCACAACCGTCAGAGACCAACTCAGGGTATGAGTGTGCCCGACTCTGAGGAACTCTACAGACCTGCAGGAGGACCGACCAGGTCTACGATCCACTGACTGGACCCTGATCCACTGACCGGGTAAACCCTGACACCTGACGTACCGACCTGCAGTACACACAGACCTCAGCAGGGGGCACTGAGGACACCCAATCCTGACTCTTAAAGTAGTGAAGAAGACATGCAGTGAGTTAGTCTGTATAAAGACCAGCGGAACCAGGACCAGACCAGGACCAGGACCTGTTGACCCCAGGAAGAATAGCTGAGCTCTCGGGTACAGATCCTTTAAAAAAAGACCAGGACCAAGACCAGGAGCTGTTGACCCCAGGAAGAATAGCTGAGCTCTCGGGTACAGATCCTTTAAAAAAAGACCAAGACCAGGACCAGGACCAGGACCAGGACCAGACCAGGACTATGAGCACAAAGGATCTACAAACTAAAACAAGGGTTCCCAAACCTTTCGGCTCGTGACCCCCCATATAACGGTGCCAGAGACCGGGGACCCCCCACTGTCCCTGGTGGTGGTTAAAGCATACAATGTTGCACTGACAGTCCAATCCAAACACTCGCATTAGAAGAACACAAAATATTATTTTAGCAAAGAAATCAAGAAGTAGAACTTCTCCATGTTCAGACTGTAGCTCTGAGTGAACAGGACACACAGGTTATGTCTGGTTTTATCTTTACAGAGCAGCAGACTCCTTCAGTGTTGTCCTGCAAACTTACTTTTTCAAGATTTTTTACACGTTAATGTCATTTAACAGCTGTAGTTTCATTTTAAGATTAATTACGTTTTTTGTTTATATTTTCAGAATGATGGGTAAATATATCATTTTGAATAGTTTTTAAAATGTAATTGTTTATGGAAGTCATCCTACGACCGCCCCTCTCAGTGTCAAGCGACCCTCCAGCGGGTCCCAACCCCCCCTTTTTGAACCACTGAACTAGAAGTTTACGAGACAAAAAGAAGTATTGATCTGATTGATTGGGTTTCACACAAAAAACATTGCAATTTCCTTTAAATCAAGATTTAAAGGTCACATATCCTCCTCCTCTTCTTCAGTGTAAATAAGTCTCAGAGCTCCTCAAAACATGTGTGTGAAGTTTCTTGTTCTAAATCCACTCTGATCCTGTATTTGATCATGTCTATAAACCCCTCTATTTCAGCACTGCTCAGAACAGGTTGTTTCTGTGTCTGTGCCTTTAAATATGTAAATGAGCTGTGTCTGACCACGCCCCCTCTCTGGAAGGGCTTGGGTGTACTCGGTCTTTCTCGCTCCATGTCCTATTGTTTACGGTGAGAAGGCAGACTCAGAGGGCAGAACAAACACCTAGCTGTGGGAGTGTCACCCACCTGGGGGAGGGGCTACTGCCCTTTGTGATGTCATGAAGGGAAAATCTCCAAACAGCCTGTTTGAGCACACATTTTCTGAAAAGTGGAGCAGGCAAAAGACGGAGAGGATGGACTTTTCTCATCATTGGGGGGTTTGTAGACAGACTAGAGACACATGTTAGAGTTAGAGGAACATGGAGAAGAGGATTTTACAGAATGTGAGACCTTTAAATAAAAGTAGACTTCAAAGTCTCTCTTCAGCAGACTCTGAACACCTGATGGACCTCAAGAGCCCGGTGGACCTGCCCTTTAACACCCAGGAGGGTCTGCTCTAGGCCTGTGTGGACTCTGTGGTCCAGGTGGGCAGACAGTCCATGTTTGTGTCCCTGCCTGAGCCCAGATCTGATTCCTAATTGGTTGTTTGTTAATTGAAGATCAGAGATATCATCGTTGGACTTTTACTAGAACCTAAATGTTTGAATTGATACATCAGAACTCAAACTGATTAAAAAGTGAATCTAAATAAAAAAGTTTAGAAACAAAAAGTGTGTCTGTCAGATGATTCATGGTTAAAAACAAGAACATTTCAAAGTTCAGGACCTGAAACTGGTCCAGAACTGTATCAGAGACAGGAACCTCTGTAGGGGGTGCCAGAGAGCTGAAGGGGTTTTAGGGGCAGAGCATGTGGATAGTAATCTATGAACCATGAATGAACCTTCATACTTAATGATGTTAAGTCTGTTTTCTCAGAGACCAATTTAACTGTAATTCTGTAAATAGAGATTATTCAAAGAACGGAGAATAAAGTACGGAGAGCCAAAAGGGACATAACTATCTCCCTTTGTGTTTGCTAACAACCTCTTCCCTCAGCCCTTAAATAAGAACAGTTAACATGATTATTTTAATGATTTTTATATTGTAGTCTCTTTTGTCCAGTAGAGGTCTGCACCTCCGAGGTCGTCCATGGGGCGGAGCTACGCGCTGACACTAGTCGCAGAAAACCAAAAACAGCCTTGAAATGACTCTTGAATTCCACGGGATATTTAAACATGGCACGTTTTGCGTTTATCCTTTATTGCCGCTGTTGTACAGGAAGTGAAGATTCTTTCGACCAAATCAACAGACTTCAGTGTGTCTAGCTCCACCCCTTTAGGGTCAGATCAGGGCGTTGTTTGCTTCTGTAAAAAAAACTATAAAGAGTGTTCCAGTGATATTCAGTGAACTTAACGAGGGAGTCTGTACGTTTATGTATATGATTGACATCATCTAACAATTGATTAGGCATTTATGTGTTTTTGACTAATTGTAGGATGTTTGGACTCATGCTGTTTGACTGCCCATGTAAAATATATCTTTTGATAGTTGTTTAAGAGAACACTGGATGTTTGACTTTGCAAACTAAGAGACTCCTATTGTTCAGGCCCTGTCCCCTCATGGGCACATGAAGAGGAGTTTATGAATGGACAGGATGAACATAATGTTTAAGGAGACTAAGATGATGACTGACTGATCAGTTGAGCTCATAGGACTTGATGTTACAATCCCTCTTACAGTAATCGGCACTTAATTGAGTCTTGATGTCTTGAATGGGGGGTAGGGGTAATCACTTGGGGTCATCAGGTGGGCACCCTCCTTCCTTGATGTTTCAAGGTCCACGACATCTCCAGAGGGCTCAACGGCAACACCTGGCATCCCCTCCGACTGATAGCTCTTCAGAGGACCTGTCCTGGAGTCCCATCCCTTTCAGGAGCCTGGTGGAAGATGTTGCAACAAAACCTCTGCAGCCAACCTCCACAGGGAGTACCCATTGTAATGCCTTGGCTGCTAGATCTGAATATTTCAGCCTCTTGCGTTAATTTCTCATACATTCTCACTTCAAATAAATACAAAATAATCACCATCCTTTAACACAAAACAGTTCAGTTCCTTACATGAATAAACTTTTTGTAACGGAAAATTGTTCTCCTTTCCTTCCGCATCAGTCGCTTTTGGTGAAATTCAACACTTCTGAAATAGGGTAATTGGGAATGCTTGCCCATAGTCAAGGGGAGGAGGGTTATCAGTTTGGGGGCTTCAAAATTTCATCTCTGCTTTTTGCAGATGATGTGGTTTGTTTGCTTCCAGAAGGCGTTGGGGCAGTTTGCAGCCGAGTGGGCTGGGATGAGGCTCAGCACCTCCAAGTCAGAGGCCATTGTTTCCTGCTGTAACACTGGATTGCTTCCTCCAGGTGGACATATTATCAGAGCAAGATATGCAATGCCACAGATACAAGAAAAATGTTTTCTGCTTTTAACTCACTGCTTCAACCACCTCCCCCTCCACCCTCCGATCTGTTCACACCAGACATGTTTGCCTCATATTTTACTGAAAAGGTTGCAACCATCAGTAACCAGTTTTCTGAGCCTGACCAGCTCAGCCCAAAGGCACCAACCAAAAGTGCCTCACTCGACTCATTCTCCTCTCTGACTGAGGATGAAGTCTCTAAGCTTGTGCTAGACTCTCTGCCCACCCCCTGTCTTCTGGACCCAATACCATCAAACCTCCTGCAGACCATTTCCTCTCTGCTTAATGCTGCACTTAAGCATATCATCAACTCCTCTCTATCACTGGGTGTGTTCCCCACCGCATTCAAGGAAGCTCAGGTCACCCCTCTGCTCAAAAAACCCACACTAAACCCAGCCCAGGTTGAAACCTACAGACCGGTTTCTCTTCTGCCCTTTCTGTCAAAAATACTTGGTCTCTGAGTTCCTGTCCAGAAACGATCTGTTTGACCCAAATCAGTCAGGCTTTAAGCGGGGCCACTCTACTGAAACTGCACTACTGTCAGTAACAGAATCACTACGAGCTGCCAGAGCTGCGGGTCAGTCCTCAGTTCTATTACTGCAACTCTCTACTGGCAGGTCTTCCTACATGCACTATCAAACCTCTGCAGATGATACAAAATGCAGCAGCACGACTGGTCTTCAACCTTCCTAAAAGAGCACATGTCACTCCTCTGTTCATCTCCTTACACTGGCTCCCAGTTACTGCTCACATCAAATCTAAAACTCTGCTGCTCACTTACAAAACAGACACAAAAACGTCTCCTCCTTACTTTAACTCTCTGATCCAGGTCTACACTCCCTCCCCCCACTACGCTCTGCCAATGAAAGGCGTCTGATCCAACCTTCACAACAGGGTCCTAAGTCTCTGACTAGACTCTTCTCCTCTGTCGCCCCCCGTGGTGGAATGAACTTCCAAACTCCATGTGATCTGCAGAGTCCCTCTGCACCTTTAAGAAAAAGCTAAAGAGCCAGCTCTTTCATGAATACCTAATAACTTAATGATGATGGTCTCCATATTATTGATGATGATGATGGTAATGACGATGGTTTTTGTTTGATAACAACGACTTATAAGATGGTTTCTATACTGATTAGAGCTCTCAAGAACTGCCCTCAATGTTGTGCTTTGCCTCTGGTCACTTCCTGTCAGCACCTGTGTGTCCAATCAGACTCAAAGCTGATCGTTTGCTCTTACTGACTGTTGGAGCTATTTAATTGGGGTTAGAATTAGTTTTTGTATTTAGTTTACTAATATTTGGGTGGTGTTGTTTATTTAATTATTCTACACGTTTTCTTTATTTAGAAAAGATTTTGGGTAACGTTTTCTTTTTTGCTAGTTATTTGTTTAGTAAATTTAGTTTTGTATTAGTATTTTTGTTAGGTATTTGGGTAATACTGTGGGCACCGGAGATTATTTAAGAAGCGGCAGGTAGAGGATCAGCATGCACCTGGGTGGGCCTATTGTTTTTTACCAGGTCAAGAGAGGCAGCGGGAGCCACGATTTTCTTTGTTCTTTTGTTTGTTTTCATCAAATAAACCAGCAAAATACCGCAGCTCCTGCATGGACATTGGATTTCTTTTGCCTGCGTACATTACATTCCCATGGTGCATCAGTGGTC